TTCTGACTGACCATGGATGAGGAGAAATCAAAAATACCATCTCAACTGTTTCTTCTTATTTTGAGTTGTATCCCTTCAGCAAATCCCTAAAGCTTTACTCCGTGCATATCATTAAGATCAACGCTACGTGGAGGAGGCAGCTCTTCCTTAGTTGTGTTTTGAGTGTCTTCCGACCTGAGAGGCTCATACTCCAGCACTGTCTCTGACAGTGTTCTGCTAGCTTCAGTGGCTAATTCCTTGTAAACGGACAGTCTGTTCCTTCTGCGTAGTCCAGTTTAGGTCTGGAAGATCCCCTGAAACCTGTTTACTTTGGGTGACCCCGCTGGTATTTGAAAAACCAGTGACACAGCTTCCAGCATCACAGCAACACAGAAGCCACCACAGCATGACAAACTGACAGAGGGGAATGATCAGCAGTAGCAGCTGGTCGTTAGTATGGTCTCAGGGTGGTGACGACGGGTGTTCACATGATCCATTTGTCCTTTGAACTAATTGTTTCCTTGTGTCTTTCAGTTTCTTCATTTTTCTGTTCTTGATAGAAACCAATAGTAGTACCTCACGTGACCACCTCAAGCTTTGACGATTTCAGACGCTACTCACAATAGTAGAATGTAGAGCACTGTCTTTGTGATCTATGTTATGCCAACTGCCTTTCATGTCCCCTGTAACTAAAGTCCCCACCCTACACACCCAGTGACTCATTCCACGTATTTGATTATTAAACTTAGTCATTCTGAGCGATGAAAAGAACAGAGTGACAGAGACGTAAGTACATAAGGGGAAAGAAAGATGATATCCAAGGCAACTGAGGCAGATACATCTGGAAGCCCAGGAACTTTTAGGATTGCCATTACTAGAAGCCAAAGGAAACAAGAAAGGCCCTCCCTGTTGAGCCATGTGCTGAATTTGGACTTCTAGCCTCCTAAACTGTGAAAAAATAAATAACTAAGACACTTACATGCATTAAGGTAGGGTGGATGCCTAATCCAATTCTCACAGTATGCTTACAAATTAAGGACATTGGGTTTTCTATGGCTGATTTATCACAAGTAGATCAAGAAGCCTTTCTTCCGAGGTGCCTCTGACAAGACTTGAGCCTCCAACCTTTTGGTTGGCAACCTAACCATTATCAAACAGCTGCTTTTGCTACCCAGGGCCCACATGATAGTGAGGATTACATAGTTCCAGGCAGCCTTTTATTACACGTTCAAACGATGTGTTCAACATGCTTTCAGGTGAAGTATTGCTTCAATTTAAAGCAAAGGGTCCATCAAATTGAAGAAGAAAAGAAAATGAAAGTAAACACATTGTAGGCCATAAATTGCTAACCTACATCTCTCCCTTTTTAGGAAACAAAATTACTCAGCACCCCACTGGCCATTAAAAACAATTGTATTATATAACCCACAATCCAGGAGAAAGTATAGTTGTTTGCTTTTGCAGCTTCTCTGGATCATCCAGCACCCCCAGGGGGCGCTATAACATACTGTGGGAAACTGGAAAGTCTCAACTACAACAAAAAAACTAGACACAGTGAGAACATACTCTGTTTTTCAAAACTTTTCAGAAATTTAGAAGTAGATCGTCTGGAGTGGGAAAAGGGCATATTTAAAATATTGGGTTTTTTAAAAAAATTAGGTAACATAACTTTCTCAATTATAGCAGAACTGCCACAAGAACAGAAATTTATTTACTCACATTTCTTTTTTTTTTTAATCGTTTCATTAGGGGCTCATACAACTCTTATCACAATCCATACACACATCCATTGTGTAAAGCACATTTGTACATTCATTACCCTCATCATTCTCAAAACATTTCCTCTCCACTTAAGCCCCTGGCATCAGGTCCTCATTTTGCCCCTCCCTCCCCGCTTCCCACTCCCTCATGAGCCTTTGATAATTTATACATTATTATTTTGTCATATCTTGCCCTGTCTGACGTCTCCCTTCACCCACTTTTCTGTTGTCCGTCCCCCAGAGAGGAGGTCACATATAGATCCTTGTAATCGGTTCCCTCTTTCCAACCCACTCTCCCTCTACCCTCCCAGTATCGCCACTGACACCACTGGTCCTGAAGGGATCATCCGCCCTGGATTCCCTGTATTTCCAGTTCCTATCTGCACCAGTGTACGTCCTCTGGTCTAGCCAGACTTGCAAGGTAGAATTCATATCATGATAGTGGGGGTGGGGAGGAAACATTTAGGAACTAGAGGAAAGTTGTATTTTTCTTCGTTGCTACATCGCACCCTGTCTGGCTCGTCTCCTCCCCGAAACCCCTCTGCAAGCGGAACTCCAGCTCACATTTCTAGAGGCAAAAAGCCCAAATAGGGCTCTTGGTTGAGTCCATTTCTTCAGGGGCTTCTCTATTCAGCTATCGTGGGGGGCACAGTTCCATGCCTAGAAGCAACCTATCACTCAAACCTTGCAGACACCCTGTGCACGCATGGCAAACACTGCCAAGGACCTGGAGCAAATGGCAAAACAGTGATCATTCCTGACAGTACAAGTATGTGGGCTCTTTCCCCCTTTTTTTGACTTATTTATTCCCATTTTTCTGCAGAAATTAAATAAGGAAAGATAATGAGCTTTCCTTATTTTAAAAAGATCGAATCAGTAGAATGCTCATTAGAAGCAAGGATGGTGAGATGATGGCTCACTTACTTTGAACACACCATCCAGAAAGACTCTTATCTAGAACAAAGACCTTGTGTCCTGTAAAGTAGAGTATCCAAGAAAGGTGGGGAACCGTCCAGGAGATGTGTTGGCACATGGTCTCAGACATGCCACCAGTAGTCATGAAGACGGTGCGGGACAGGCAGCCTTTCCTTCAGCGGTACTCGAGATCACTGGGAGCTGGCGGCCAGTGGGATGGCTGGCTAAGAACAGCAGCAGAGCCTGTAGAAATGAAAACGGCAGTGTTGGGCAGAGTTGCCATGAAGTGTCTCAAAGGCAATGACCACAGGGTGGGCTTGCTCCTGCAGAGAAGGAAGGACCTGCATCCCCTTGCCTGTTGCCTGCCATCCACTCACGTATCCTCACCACCGAGGGGCTTCATGCTCACTCATTCAATTTCTGACATATTCATGCAGCAAACACGCAGGTTGTATGCTGCACAATGCTGGAAATGCCTCATGAAGCTTTCCTCTTTTTTTCCAAAATAAGGAAACAGAACAGTATAATATTGGAGAGTGATGCTCATGAAGTAAAATAGAATAGACCAGGCAAGGCTGGGCCGTGTTGAGCGACTGGAGAGTTGGGTTGAGAGATGGTATCTGTGTTAGACAGGGTTCTCTAGAGAAACAAATCCAGAATGCTAATAATTTTCTATATATTTATACAGATAGATATATAATATAAGAAATAAACAGTTAATTAAATTATAAAGCAGTACAAATGGCTCAGTGCAACTCACTCCCGTGAGACAGTTGTGAGACACTGGCAGTCCTTCAAGTCTTGAGGGCCTCCAGGTAGTCCTCAGTAGAGCAACTCAGGCTATCCAGGCACAGGCAGCAAACAGCAAGGCAGGTCACCAACAGTCAGCCAGATGACAGGGTCTGACAGTCTCCAGCTCAGGAGATATAAATTCCAATGGTGTGGCGAAGCAGGTCTTGAAGAAACCTCAAATTACAGTGACACAGTCCACAAGTTAGGTGTCCCACAGGTAGTGTAGCTTGTAAATTGAGGCAAAGAACAAGCAAGGCAGCCGCACACTGGTACAATGATTAAAGAGCAGGAGACAAGAAAGGCGAGACTTGCCGAGCCATTTATCTCTCCGCCCTTCAATTAATCCCACATGTGTTTATCGGCCAGGTTGGCACTCTGTGTCAGTGGAGGGAGGAGCTAAAGGATGAGACATAGTACTGAGACCGCATGGAGAACTCTGTTGTCTCAGCCTGGCTAACTCAGATTACATGTGAGTCACCTCTTGTGGTCACTGAGCAAGGTGGTCAGCCCAGCCTGAGCAGCATGCCGGGCATTACAGTCACTCATCTGCATCTTCCAGCCTCCATCTATTTAGAAAGTAATGCCCTGTGTATGAGTAGCTCATTAGTAAAATCATCCCAACCCAACACTCTCATGCATTGTGCTAGACCAGGTTGACTAGAGAAACAAATCCAGGGACATGCATATATGTATAGGAAAGAGCTTTATGAAAGAGTAATTGTATATTAAGAAAATGTCCCAGCCCAGTCCAGATCAAATCCATAAGTCCAATATTAGCCCATAAGTCTGATACTAGTCCATAAATTCCTCTTTAGACTTGCACAGTCACATGCAATGCTGCCGAATGCAGGTAGATCACAGGCTGGGGCGTGCAAAGTCTTGTGAATCCAATGGCAGTAGAAGCATGTCAACACTGGTGCAGGTCTCCAAGTGGCTCCTCCAGCTCTCTGAGTGTGGCTCCTCAACAGGAAGGTGAACCACAGAAAGAGTGTGGCCCACCTCCAAGAAGGAAGAGAGGAAGTTCCCAGACCCCTCATGCGAAGGTCACGCCCACAAGGAGGCATCATCAGGCTGTGACCTGATTGACATGCCAGGCTCCACCCCTACACTTATTTATTGAGTTGACATAAAATGATGTAACTACCATACATGGCCACTACCCATCTGTCAGGGAAGGCTGAGTGTCACTATGATGCTAAGCAAGTTTTAGCAGAACTTCCAGGCTAGGAAAAAAGACCTGGTGAACTATCTCTGAAAATGGACCTATCAAACCCTATGGATCACAACAGTCTAATCTGCCCCAGTCATAGGGAAGGTACAGGGTGGATGGTGTTTGCTTCTGTTGTGCACCAGGTCACCAGGAGCAGAGGGCTTACTGGACGGCAGATAACAACACAGTGAAAATCAGGAACCCCTCCTCCAACGTGTCCCCACCACCCTTGGGAGTTGCTTCTGTGGAGTGCTGGAAGGGAGGGCTGCTGTTCATGGCCAAGCATTGGGTTCCTTTGATCACGAGTGGTCTGACACTGACTGTGACACTTCTGTGCATTACAGCTCCAGCCCCTAAAAGACAGAAATGTGACCACTGGACTTCATGTCCCCCGAACACCTATGCCTACCGGTTACTCAGTGGAGGTGGACAGGATAAGTATGCCCAAATCTGCTTTGAGGATGAGCTGTAAGTATCCGTCTGAAAGAAAAAGAAAATAAGTAAATGTTGTGTTTGATTCTTTTCCATTATTTGAGGCTTGTGAAGCACTTGGTCTGCCAACAGGAGAGTAATGCATATCCTTGGTCTCAGACAGAAGGGGTAGTACAGTGTTTAACTGCCCACAACACATGGTGTTTCTCTTAGGCAGTTCCCACCCTCTGTGTTGTATTTAGTTCGTCTCTGTGTTTGTCCTCCGAAGGAGGTTGGTAGAATTCTCAGGGCAGGAACTGTCTCTTTTCAACTGTTTGCCCTTGGAACGATCTGAGGATCACCCTGACTCATAATAGCCAGTTTCACCCTTTGCCATGGAGTTGACTACAGTCCACTGTGACCCCATATGTGTGAGAGTAAGAACTGTGCTCCCCATAGGGCTTTCAATGGCTGGTGTTTGGGGAATAGATCACTTTTTTTTGCTAAGGCACCTCTGAGTGAACTCCAACTCCAAGGGTTAACTTAAGTTGGCAGCTAAGTGTGAACTATTTGCAGCGCCCAGGGACTCCTTTATTCTTAGTAGCCCTCTTCCAATCTTTTTTTGGATTGAGTAGAAATAGTACTTCCCCCTTTGGAGGTAGATCACTTATTTAAAACATGCTTAAATCAATCAGGATGTTGATCAATAAGCATTTATTGACTGATGAATTAACATTTTTAAGATGCTCACTTGGGGGGTGGAGGAGAACAATGGCAGTAAACATATAGTTCTTACCCTCAGGGGCTGGAATTTCTACGTAGGTAATCATGTTGTCTGTGAAAAAGAGACAGGTGACCAATTCCTTTCTTATCTGCGTGAATTTGATTTCTATTGTTTGCCTCAGTTTACTAGCTTGAATCTCCCATACAATATTTAACAGAAGTGGAAAAAGCAAACACTTTTGCCATTTTCCTAGCCTTAGAAGGCAAGCATTCAATCTTTCACCATTAAATGTAAGTCAACAAGTTTTAAATAGATGCCGTTTATCAAGATGTGCGAATGCCCTTCAAATCCAAGTTGGTTCAATGATTTTGTCAGCATTGTGTGTTGACTTTTGTCAAATTCTTTTTTGTTTTTTTCTCTTGAGATGATTATAGTTTGTTTGTTGCAGTCTGCTTATATGATGTTACATTGTTGTTTTTTAATACCAAAACAATCTACCATTCCTAGAATTCTTTCTTTTACATAGATGAATGTCACTAGTTTATCTCTCTAGATGACCCAGCTAACACACCAATCAATATACCTGTTCTTCAAATTTCCGTACCAGCACCATATCTGGTGATGTAGAAATTGAAGAATTCTATGAACATCTTTAGTCAGGAATTGACCAAACATGCAATCAAGATGCATTGATAATTACTGTCAATTGGAATGTAAAAGTTGGAAAAAAGAAGGAACAGTAGTAGGAAAATATAGTCTTGGTGATATTAAAGAAACTGGAGATCACATGAAAGAATTTTACAAAACCAACGACTTATTCATAGCAAATACCAGTTTTTCAACAACTCAATAGGCAACTATATACATGGACTTCTCCAGATGGGATATACAGAAATCAAATTTACTACATGTGTGAGGAGAGATAAGAGAGAAGCTAAATATCCCAAGCTAAAACCAGGCCAGGGGAAACTATAGAACACACCACCAATTGCTTATTAGTAAGTTCAGGTTTAAGCTAAAGAAAATCACAAGTCCTTGCGAACCAAAATATGACCTTGAGTCTATCCCACCTGCATTTCGAGAACATCTCAAGAACAGATTTGCTGCATTGAACACTAATGACAGAAGACCTATGAGCTGTGGGAGGACTTCAAAAACAGCATTCATTAGATTTGGGCCTCACATTAATTCTAGCCCCAATCAAAAAGCAATCCGTTCTTAACAATGACATAACCCAACTCAATTCCCATCCTCATGAAGAGATCACTGAAAACATGGGTGAAGAAACCCCATGGTGCCTGGCTGTCAGAGTAGCATCTGGGGCCTTAAACACTTTTCTTAAAACAAACAAAGTGAGGTGTCAACTAAATACACCTGGAGGAAGCACATTAACTGTGTGACCCAAGGATTATAAATAATCAAATTCAAATCCAAAGGGGGGAATGGTATCAGAGTTTAAATTCTGAACATCTGGTTTGCAGAAGACTATGGATAACAGTAGAAGCACAAAATCCATTTGCAGGGTCCCCACATGGATTAAGCCCCCAGTGACTCCCCTCTGACCATGGTGGAAGGATGTGAACCGACTTGCTATCAGGCAGAGAGCATTGTAAAGTCAATTGTGGCAGATATAGTTAAGGTAAAATATAATACCTTATCATCTGATCTCCTTTTTGACCCATTTTGAATTTTCAGTTCTCAAATTTTTCTGCTTTCTTTTTGATGTTTTTCTGTGTTTTGTCTAGTCATCATCAATGGGGATTTTTGTTTGGTCTGTATGATTTAGTTTGGTTTGTATGTATATGTAATCCAGGATAAGTAAAACTATAGAAATAGTAACTGGATTAATAATTACCTAGGGAAAAGCAGACAAGGTTTAAGGGGAAATGGGGAGCTACAACCAGTATGAGAATAAGTGTTTTGAAATTTATTTTGATGATAATTGAATCACTCTTCTTAAGTGACTGAATGATTAGGTTGTGTGATATGGGAACTACATGTCAATAAGACTATTTCAAAAATAAATTCTAAAAATTAACATCTTTCATGAAGAAGGATAAGGTCATTACAGAGATACGAAAGAAAATATCAAAGTGGGTATCAGAAGAGACTCTGAAACTTGTTCTTAATCATTTAGTAGCTAATGCAAATGGAAGACATGAAAGAGATGAACAGGAATTTTCAAAGGGTAACTTGAGAAGACAAAGTCAAATATGATAATGAAATGTAAAAAGACTTACACTCATCATATGTGAAACTTAAAGACCTCAATAAAATAGTCAAGCTTCAATTTGGAATATTGGAAGTCTCTCTGGGTAAAATATTGAACAGTGCAAGAAGCATCAAAAGAAGATAGAGAAATACTTAGAGAAATTGTACCAAAAGAGAACTAGTCACCATTCCACTATTTCAGGAAGTCGCATAAGAGCAAGAACCGATGGTGCTGAAAGAAGACATTCAAACTGTACTGAAAGCATTAGCCCAAAACAAGATTCCAGGAAATGATGGGATACTAATTGATATGTTCTGACAAGCAGATGAAGCAATGGAAGTATTTATTCCTCTATGCGAGGAAATTTAGAAGACTACTCCCTGACCAACTGACTGGACGAGATCCATATTTATGCCCATTCCAAAGAAAGGTGACCCAACAGAAGGCCCAAATTACAGAACAATATAATTTCTGTTACATGCAAGTAAAATTTTGCTGAAGATCACCCAATAACAGTTGCAGCATTACATTGACAGGGAGCTACCAGAAGTTCAGGCCAGATTCAGAAGAGGACATGAAACAAGGGATATCCTTGCTGATGTCAGATGGATCTTGGCTCAAAGCAGAGAATACCAGAAAGATGTTTACTTGTGTTTTATTGACTATGCCAAGGACTACGTGGGTCATAATAAACCATGGATGACTTTGAGAGGAATGGGAATTCCAGAAAACGTCATTATGTTATGTGGAACTTGTACAGCGATCAAGAGGCAAGTGTGCAAACAGAACAGGGGAATACTGCATGGTTTAAAATCAGGAAAGGTGTGCATCAGGGTTGTGTCCTCTCACGATATTCATTCAGTCTCTATATGGAACAAATCACCCGAGAAGCTGGATAATATGAAGAAAAATGTGGCATAAGTGTTGGAAGAAGGCTTATTAACAACGTGTGATATACAGACGACACAACCTGACTTGCTGGAAGTGAGGAAGCACTTGAGGCACTTGCTTATGAAAACCAAGGTTTCAGCCTTCAGTATGAATCACAACTCAATATAAAGAAAACGAAAATCCTCACAACTGGTAATCATTATAAATGGAAAAAAGACTTCTTGCTTGGGTCCACAATCAATGCTAATAGAAGCACTGATCAAAAGAGTAGTGATCAAAAGAGTTGAGATTAAAAAAATGAGCTGCATTAGTTAAATATACTACACAAGACCTCTTTCGAGTACTGGAAAACAAAGATGGAACTTTGAGGACTAAGGTGCTCCAGACCCAAGCCATGGTATTTTCAATCACCTCATATGCATGGGAAAGTTGGACACTGAATAAAAAAGACCGAAGAAGAATCAATGCATTTAAATTATGGTGCTGGAGACTAATACTGAACGTACCACGGGCAGCTGAAAGGACAAACTGATCTGTTTTGGAAGAAGTATGGCCAAAGTGCTCCTTAGGCAAGGATGGCAAGACTTTTTCTTACATACTTTGGACATAGTGTCAGGAGAGACCAGTCCCTAGGGAAGGATATTGTTTTAGGCTGGGTTGACTAGAGAAACACCCAGAGACCCTCATATATGTGTAAGGAAGAGCTTTATAACAAGAAGTAAATATATATTGCAAAAACATCCCAGCCCAGTCCAACTCACATCCATAAGTCTGATACTAGCCCATAAGTCCCTCTTAAGACTCACAGAGCCACATGCTATGAGGTGGAATGCAGGAATATCACAGGTCGTTGGGTGCAGAGGCTTGGGGATCCAATGGCAGTGGACCCATCTCCAGGGCTCTGGCAGCAACCAGAGTCAGCTAACAGGAAGGTGAAGGCCGAGAGATGAGGAGGTTCCCAGGGCCCTCCTTATGAGAAGGCCACACCCACAAGGAGGCCCCATCAGGCTGTGACCTGATTGACAAGTTGAATACCTCCCCAACACTTTTATATGTCTTCAAGTTGACATGAAATTATGTAATGACCACAGACATCGTGCTTGGTAGAGGGGAGGGGCAGCATAAGTGAGAATGGCCCTGAACTAGATGAATTAACACTAGATGGATTGTAGCTTCAATTTCTAGGCTCTAGTCTAGAAACAGTTTTGAGGATGGTACCAGACTGTGCAATGTTTCTTTGTGTTGTGCATAAGGTAGCTATGGGTCAAACCAAACTTTATGGCATCTAACAAGAGCATTAATAGAGTTACCTTATACCCCATGGGATGGTTTATAATGTTCTCTAATAAAATGCTAATGATATCTCTAAAATGAAGTGGGGACATATATAAAGTATGAATGGATTGGGGTCCACACTTAATCATAGCCCTAATCTAAGAAAAATCTGTTTTTATGACAAGTCCCTATTCGATGCCTACCCTCAAGAAGAGATCACTGAAGAGGTGAGTGCTATAGAAAAGTGTGGTAAATCAATCAGATAGTATCCAGCTATCAAAAAGAATAGTGTTTGAGGAGGGTGTCTAAAAGCTTGTCTTAAAATAGGCAGTCTTACACAATCCGACGTCTCCCTTCATCCACTTTTCTGTTGTCCATCCCCCAGGGAGGAGGATATATGTAGATCCTTGTGATCAGTTACCCCTTACCCCACTTTCCCTCCACCTTCCTGGTATTGCCACTCTCACCACTGGTCCCAAGGGATTCATCTGTCCTGGATTCCCTGTGTTTCCAGTTGCTATCTGTACCACTGTACACCCTCTGGTCTAGCCATATTTGCAAGGTAGAATTGGAATCATGATGGGGGTGGGGGTGGGGAGAAGCATTAAAGAACTAGAGGAAAGTTATATGTTTTATCGTTGCTATCCTGCACCCTGACTGGCTCTCCTCCTCCCTGTGACCCTTCTGTAAGGAGATGTTCAGTTGCCTACAGATGATCTTTGGGTCCCCACTCCGCACTCCCCCTCATTCACAATGATATGATTTTTGTTGTTGTTTGATGCCTGATACCTGATCCCATCAACACCTCGTGATCACACAGGCTGGTGTGCTTCTTCCATGTGGCTTTGGTGCTTCTGAGCTCGATGGCCGCTTGTTTCCTCTATGAAGAGGTCTTGTGCAGCAGATTTTTCCAATGCAATACATCGCTGATTTCTTAAAATAGGCAGTCATGAAGACTCCTGCTTCTATGATTGTTGATTGTGAATCCAAATAAAATGAAATCCCTAGCAAGTTCACTCATTCTCTTCATTATGATGTTGTCTCTTGGCCCTGTTTTGACAATTTTTGTTTTATTTACATTGAGTTGCAATCTATACTGAAACCTGTAGTCTTTGACTTTTATCATGAAGTGTCTCAAGTCTTCCTCACTTTTAGCAAATAAGAGTGTTTCAGCTCTATCACGTCCTACAGTGCGCGTTTACAACATACAGGATAACCAAGTCAGGAGGATAATGACAGAATACCAAAACCCATGACCTAATTCAGTTGACACCTATTTTGGGGACACACAATCATTCCATACCAGGCTCCTTTGTCTTCCTCCTGATACCGTTGGGAACACTGCCAACCTTTTCCTGCCAAGTATGATGTTGGCTGTGTTTTTTGAAATGATAATAAAAGGTAAAATACATTTTCTTTTATTCTTTTCTTTGTTTAGAGTTATGTGTGCATCATATTTTTCCCAATCATGAATAGCTATTATCAAAAAGTTAAAAAAAAATGCTAGCACTCTGTTATGAGAGCCTTGATACAGTTCTTACTGCCTGGTTCTGTGACAGCCAAAGCTGGAGTACCTTTCGTTAAGCACTAGGTGTTCCAAAATCCAAGAGGAGGAGGAGGATGCTAATACAGCAGGGTTGGAGTTTACACACAAGTCACCAGTACCTCCTGGGAGCAAACAACATAGCAGTTTTGCTGAGTTACAGTCTTACACAAACAGTTTTGAAGGAACATTCTTGTCACTACAGGAACATTCTTATCACTTATTTAATGATAAGCTATAACTTTATCTACAAGACTACTTTCTGAGGACAAAACATTTTTTATCATAGTATTAAGTAAGTATGGTTCGCCCAAGGCTTTGAGATGTGCATATCTAAAAGCAGAAGGAGGGATATAGGGGAGAGGGAAGCTTTATTTAGACCAGGGGTGGAAAGCCTTTATTCTGTCAAGGGACTTTTGAATATTTATAGCATCATTCTCAGGCCATACTGGTAATACTTAATTAGCTCACCCCTAGTATGATGGTTGGAACTGCTTCTCTTTGGTGAGGTGTGTGATATTAGCTGGTATTGATTTCATGGGTCTTATATGGCCCATGGGCCAGATGGTCCCCACCATTGATTAAGACATATGTTTATCACTTAATCATGCCAGGTAGCTCAGTTTTCAGGGACTTTTTCACAAAGACTAATGGAAGATCTTTTCTTCTGACTCCATCGGGATGGTCATATAACGTTCATTCTTTGTGTTCTTTGATGTTTTGTTGTTATGCACTATCTTCTGAGAGTTTATTTGTTGCTACTATGAAAATTAACTCCCCTTTCCCCATTACCTGTAACATTTATTTTTTTGTATTTGGAATGTGTCACTTTTTTATTGTTTAATCTTACTTAAAGTTTCTTAGGGTTTCTGAATATGAATGGATTAAAGTCTCCATCACATTTGAAAACTTCCCAGGCATTGTACTTCATATTAGAGGTTGAGGATTCACTGAGAGAACATTGTAAAGAGCATGTGCTGAACCAGTATTAGTTTCTCCTCTCCCTTGTCCCTGGTCTAAATTACCCATTTCTAAGTGCCAGGGAGGCTGAGGCTATAGAATCTTGGAGAGAGACGTGTGGAGATTAAGTTGCAAGGGGCAGGTACCTTTCTAAGGAGCTGAATCAAGATGTGTGCATCTCTGCAGGGGAATGGTAAGTGACAGTGGATTGTCGACAACGAGATTCTGCCAGGAGAAGACTTGGGCAGCAAGGGAGGGTGATTCATTGTCCAGTGAGAAAGGTGCCATTACTCAGACCTGTTTAAATTTCAGGGTCATCGGGGGAGAGACGGGAAATGTTGCAAGAGGAATAAATATTGCCATTGTCAACTGTGAGTCATGAAGCATTTTCTTTAAACTTCTTTAGAAGCACTATAAGCAGATTTTTCAACAAGAACCTGGAGGGTAGAGAATCAGCTTTCATAATTAGGATTAAGAAATTTTCAGGCTGGTTGTCTTGCTACATGGGAAACACTCTTAATTAGACTTTGTTCTCTCAAAGCACCTACCTGTGGGCTTTATTTATCTCCTTAGTCCCTCTAAGCAGCTCATCACAGTCCCAGCCTCAGAATGGGCTGCACAGGAAGGTCCTTAGTGGTGTTTTTAGTTGCTGGCTGTTGTGTTGGCCTCCGACTCATGGTAGGTTATGGACCAGACCATTGTGACCCTTAAGGTTTTTACTGGCTGATTTTCATAAGTAGATGGCCTGGCCTTTCTTTCTTGTCTATATATTAGCCTGGACGCTCCAGTGAAGCACAAGCCTCCACTGACAGACAGGTGGTGACTGTGCCTACCGTGCATTGGCTGGGACACCGTGGGTCTTCTGCATGGAAGACGAGGATTCTGTCACTGAAACACAGATGCTCTCACGGTTGTTAGTGAACCAGGACAGAAGAACATAGTGACATCTGCCCAGGAATTGCAGCTCTCTAGGGAAAGCCATACCGGATAGGGCAAGGCTGCTTCCTGGGGAAGGTTCTCCAGTCCTCTGCAGCTCAACTCGGAGCCCCTGTTTCTGAGTTGGAGTGCCACTTCTCCTTCACAGGCACATGTGCCTGCCAGTCAGGTCATGCTTCATGGCAAGGCTGTGAAGGGTCCCCCACCCGAGGATGCTCATTTCCCGAAAATCGCCCCAGGCTTCTTTCACTTCCTCTGGGTGGGGCAGGGCTGACTGACAGTCCTCTTCCTGTCTGCCCCAGCTGGCTTCCTGCTGGAACAAACCATAGAAGCCTCCATCAGAGCGAAGAGCGGGTTACTCAGTCAGCAAGAGGAACATGGGCTTACTTGTGCTTGCTTAGAAATCTGTAGTGAGCCTACTAAAAGATGGTGGAAAAACCCGTGAAAGTATTCACGACAGCTTAGTAAGTACCAGTAAGTAACAAGTTAAGCTTGTTCTTACCTTGTTTACCAGGAACTCTGCCCCTGTCAAGGCTTACATATTTGAAAAGAGGCTTTGATGATACAGGACATTGCTGTAGGGTTGGGAGAGAGTCAGATGCCAGACATATGTAGAAGCAGAATCTCTATTGTGGTGAAATATGTAAAATCGTTCACTACAGATTAGTAAGTAAAGACAAATAAGCCCATGCTTACTTGCTTCGTAGGTCATCCCACTCTGACAACGAGCAGCCAACAGCATGGACAGGCTGGCCAAGGGGATGGGCTCTATGGGGTTTCTGGAGGACGAGGGTGGTGCATGAGAGCAGAATGAAAAGCACAGATTTTAAGACCAGCTGGAAGAAAGTTCTAGAACAGTTGGCAGGCACCCTGTTATTTTCTTACCTCACTTTACAACACTTCTAGGCAAGATCCTTCTCTAGGGTGGTCCCCTCATCTATGCCACGTTTCCTGGAGAGAGGTGAGGAAGAAAGGCACTATGCTGGTGGCTAGGGTGCCACCAATGCCCCCCTGGGTTCTGATGAACTTCCCTCTTGAAAATGATCTCTTTATTTTTCAGATGTAACTGGGAAGGTGACAGAAACAGGATCTTTTGATATGTTTGAAGGTGGTAAGAAGATGACTTTCCTATTCAAAGTAAAATGCATTCAAACACAAAACTATGACTTAAAACACTTGAACATAAATGTCAAACGTTCTTATCTTTTCAATGGAAGAAAAGGTGGTTAGCACATACGTGATTTTTCAGCATAGTCTTATAGAAATCCGTCTAGGTCAGCGGTTTTCAACCTGTGGGTGGCAACCCCCTTGGGGGTCAAACAATCCTTTCACAAGGATCTCCCAATTCATAACAGTAGCAAAATTACAGTTATGAAGTAGCAATGAAAATAATGTTGTGGTTGGGGGTCACCACAACATGAGGAACTATATTAAAGGGTCGCAGCATTCGGAAGGTTGAGAACCACTGTTCGAGGTTATCAATGAGCTCATTCCATAAAGTATGAAGGCATCTCTTCTCTGATCACTTTTCAAGGGTCTGTCCTTCAGCGCCATCATCTGCTAACAGGGAAGAAGCCCTCTTCCTTTGTTTTTTAGCCAAAGTATGTAAAATCATGTCATCAGCATCCAGCTGGAATATCACAGCCTTGAAGGAGCCATTGTAGTTACTGCTGTGCTTCCAGGGTCCTGCTGGGCTGTGCGCTGACTTTCTGGAACTGCTAGGTGCTCCTTCTCCTCCCTCAGTCTTGCTACACTGGGTGTTGAAACATGGCTGCACTGGTTAATTAGCAGCGCTCTTGGGGTTAGGACAATGAAGAGTTGACATGGAACCCAACTGCAGAAGGAAGCCCAGCATCTAGACCAATGTTTCCCCAAGGGGGTGCAGCATCTTCTAGACCACGATTCTCCTCCGTTCATGGAGAAGATCCTAAGATTGATTTCCATTGATCCACAGATAACTCTGGACCCATGGTAAAGTTCATTCAGAGTGCACCACAGAAATCCCTGCTCTTCATGGTGACCCACGATGATGGCAGCAGCAGGTAAGCACCCGCAGACAGTCGTGGCCATGGACAAGAGAAGCCAGCAAGGAGGAGGATGCCAGTCTCTACCCAAGTTCCCAATAGCAGTCTCTAGGATCAAGCAGAAAGCTCAGGTGTTGGGTGCTTCTTTGAGGAAAAAGAATGACAGCAAATACCAAAATAGACTTTGTTTCTAAAGGGAGTGAGAGAGAGGAAGAAGCCACATGACTTGCCAGTGAAGCATATAAACAGTAGACTTTTAGTCTGGGTAAACTAGAGAAACAAATCCAGAGAGGCATTCATGTGTATAAGAAAGAGCTTTATATATATATAGAAGAGCAATTGAATATTGAGAAAATGCCCCAGCCCAGTCCAGATCAAGTCCATAAGTCTGATATTAACCCATATGTCTGATACCAATCTGTAAAGTCCTCTTCAGGCTCACGAAACACATACAATGATGCCAAATGATGGAAGATCACAGGCCAGTGGGTTGAAAGTCTTGTGGATCCAGTGGTGGTGTAAGCATCTCAGCGCTGGCAGGGGTCTCTACATGGCTCCTCCAGCTCAGGGCACTAGTGTAGCTCCATTTGTCTTCTCAGCTAGAGGGTCTCCCAGGGAGTCAGTGTGCGTCCTTCCTCCAGTGAGGTATTTATCTCCTTAGCACTTCCAAATGAGGTCATCAAGCTGTGACCTGATTGACAGACTAAACTCCACCCCTTCACTCTTAATCCTTTCAAATTGACAACAGATTATATAACTACCACATTTAGGGAATATTGCCAGGTAACAGGATGATGCCACAGTTGATGAGAATTAGGATGGAAAAGCAGTGCCCAGCTAGGAAAATGTCACATAAATGTAAAAAGAAATCGAGGGAAAACATCTCAGTACAAGGAGAAAATGAAGGATAAATAAATGCCAACATGCTCCCCCATACACATACACATTTATACATATGAGCATGCATTTATAACATATGCAGTGATAGTACTAAGGAGAAGTGTGACTTAGTTGTATGTTTCTCAAGGTGTGTTCTGCTAAGTAAGCATGTATGCCTTCACTACTGAGCTTCTAAGAACCTCAGATTGCCTGTTCGCATTATGAATTTCCAAGATGGAACTTCAGAACACAGAATTCCAAAGTTGTTGGACCTCTCAAACAAACGGAAAAACAAACAAAACCACATTACCATCTAGTCGGTTCTGAATCATAGTAGTCTTATAGGACAGACTAACACTGCCCCGTGGGTTTCTCTACGGGAAGAGAAAGCGTCATCGTTCTCTGTAGGAGCAGACAGAAGTTTCAAACTGCTAGCCTTGCAGTTAGCAGCCCAATGTGTAACCCACTACTCTTCCAGGGCTCAGCGCCCCCCCACCCCCACCCCCTCTGTTCCCTGAGCATCTTGCCACATCTAACAAATCTTTGGCGCATGCTTAGAAAAGCTCTGATTGAACTCACCTAGGGAACAATCTGCCCTGGTTCTTTTTATGTCCTTTCTGCCCCTTCCTTTGCTCGCTCAAAATGGGCTCCTCCATCTACCTAGAAATTGGAGAGGCCACCTAGGTTTACTGGTTACCTTTCTCCAAAGGGAAATTCCATTGCTCCTATCAGTTACGTAGGAGTGGGTTTGAAACTGGGAGTCAGGTACCGCCATATTGACATCAGGCTCTGAGCAGCCCCAGCTTATAAAACTAGGTCATGATGTTCTCCAGGAAATGATGCTGAAATAAGGTTGGTTCAAAAGAAAAGGGAACTCCTTTTTTTGCCTTCAAAAATATGTACATCGATTTTAAACAAGACAAAAGAATTTACAGTAATGAGTTCCTCTAAGTTTAAGGCCTTAGAAGGGGGAGGAAGGGGAGGCTTTTGCACGAAAATGCATACTTTCTTACTTTGCTCATTGGTATTAACCCTTAAAATCCAACCAGCTTGTGGGCCAGCCATCTTCCTAGCAGGCACCAAAGGAGGCTTTTGGGAAATCCGTGCAGGAACAAGCACATACATAACACAGGATCCTCCCTGGAAGAGACAGTCACATGCCTTCCCCTCTGCTCTCCAGGATGAAGGATGACGCCAAGGAGGCCCTCAGAGCACTGGGAAGTAAAGAAGTCCAGAACATGAAATTCAGGTCAAGTTGGGTATTTCTTGCTGCAAAGGGCGTTGAACTTCCTACTGGCATTCAGAGAGAAAAGGTGAGTCGTCTTCCCACAAACAGCAGTGCCCTACACGCTGTGATCACCGAGAGTCACACTTGCCTCCATAGGACTGGGTATGATGGGAAATGGTTACTGCACTTGCCACCTGCAGACGTGTCTGCACAGTGGAGGGGCTGCTGGGAGGGCCCAGCAGGGGTGCCTGGGTTTGCGTACTGTCTCCCTGCTCACTCTGTGTGCCCTGGGCAAGTTCTCAAGCGCGCTATGCCTGGATAGCCACCCCCACTGTGGTCAGCCACCATCAAGTGGGTCTCCAACTCATGGCAGGGCAATGAATGCACATTGCAAAAACGGCGGCCTGGTCCTGTGCCATCTCCATGACAGACTCGTGGCAGAATTCACTGTTGTGACCCATAGAGGTTTTCATGGGTTGGTTTTCAGGCAGCGAGCGAGCTGCCCAGTGGATCATCAGCTGTCTTAGTCAGGAAACACCCACAAAACCCTTTCTACACATGGACACATGGGCCTCCACTGACAGATGGCTGGTGGCTGTGTATGAGGTGGGTTCACTGGGAATCGGACCTAAGTGTCCCTTATGAAAGGCAGGAATTTTACCATTGAACACCCATGCCCTCACGTCCTCCTTCCTAAATTGGAGAAAGGGGACCCTGGTTGGTGTAAATGGCCAACCCTCTTGATGACTGCCCACTGGAAGGTGGCCATGTGAATGTGCTCGGAAGTGCCTCAGAGAAAGGCCTGGCAATGTATTTCTGAAGGGAAAAAAAAGAGCATCCATTGAAAACCTTAGAGCACAAGTCTACTCTCCTCCAAGTGAGGTCACCATATATTAGAGTCAGCTCCGCAGCAACTGGTAAACCGTGGCAGACTTCTGCCTTCCACGTGGTGGGTCCTTGGCATGCTATCTGACGGAACGTGGTCGGTCCATCATAAGGCATTCAGAAACTTGTCCCTCTTCCAGCAGTAGAAAGGTGCTGAGCTGAAGCTGAAAAATTCCCAAGTCTTTTTAAAAGTACAAACTCCAATGGCCTATGCTTTTCTAACAGACTGTCGCCGACACTCTCCCTCCTGCGTCTCCCTGTTCTTCTGCATCCGTTTCACCTCTGTCTGGGTGGTTTGGAGTTCCAAAGTGGTGTCAACAGTTAAACATTCAGCTACTAATCAAAAGCATGGAGGCATGAGCCCACACGGGAGAGGCCTGGTGATCTACTTCCACTTAAAACCCCATGAAACCAAGGAAAGAGGGACCCGACTTCAACCGGGTGCTCTAAGATGTGAATGCAACATACTGGCATGAAGCAGGAAACCAATAGAGAGGTTTGAGGGGCTGGCACCAATCCCAACTACATGGACACCCCACCCTCCCCCCAGAAGTATTCACTTCCGAGGACAGCACTGAAACTACAGTTCAGGGAGAGAGACGTGTCTGATCAGCGCACACAGGAACAAATTAAGGAAGAGAAAGAAAGAGTAGAGCACATCCTGGCCCACCAAGCCTTGAGGACGATATCCCTGCTCAGAGCAGCCAATGCACAGAGAGGATCATATGACTGGCCCCACTATGAGACACGACGTCTGTCACTGACCCATGGCGCTATGGGGGACAACACTGGACAACAGTGCGGAAATTGCACCTTATCTGACCCCACCACACTGAGGCGAAACACTAAGGGTGTGCAATTGAACAGCAAGGGCAACAGAGCAACAAAGTCCTCAGGGAACACCAAAACTAGACTTTGGGGCCATGGCATGGCACCCCATCAGAATCGACCAGAAAACACGTCTAAAGGTCAACAAAAAGAGCTTGAACTATTAACAGGCTTTTCCTTTTTTATTTTTTGTTGTTGTCTTCTTTTCTTTTGTTGGTTTGTTTTGCTCTGTCTTGTTTTTTGTGCATATTATTATCTCTGCAGGTCTATCTAGATACGATAGGCTTGTTAAACAAGCTGGAGGAGAAAACAACGGGACTGACTGTTTTCAGGGGGGACCTGGGAGACAGGCAGGGAAAGGAAGTGAGTGTTAAACCCAAAAACAACAAGTGATCTAAATTCGATGGCAAGGAGGGTGTAGGAGGCCTGGGGGGCTTGATCAAGGGCAATGTAACCGAGAGGAATTACTAAAACCCAAATGAAGGCTGAACATGATAGTGAGACAAGAGGAAAGTAAAAGGAAATAGAGGAAGGAACTGTGAGGCAAAGAGCATTTATAGAGGTCTAAATACAGGCATGTTAATATATTTATATATGATGATGGGGAAATAGATCTATGTGCATATATTTATATGTTTAGTATTAAGGTACCAGATAGACATTGGGCTTTCACTCAAGTACTCCCTCAATGCAAGAACACTTTGTTCTATTAAACTGGCATTCCATGATACTCACCTTCCCGACACAATTGCTGAAGACAAAGCAGATGCATAAGCAAAAGTGGTGAAGAAAGCTGATGGTGCCTGGCTATCAAAAGATATAGCATCTGGAGGCTTGAAGGTAAACAAGCGACCATCTAGCTCAGAAGCAACAAACCCCACATAAAAGAAGCACACCAGCATGTGTGATCAAGAGGTGTCGATAGGAGCAGTTATCAGGCATCAAAGAACAAAAAATCATATCGTGATGAGGGGAAGTGCAGAGTGGGGACCCAAAGCCCATCTGTAGGCAACTGGACATCCCCTTACAGAAGGGTGGCGAGGAGGAGATGAGCTAGTCAGGGTGCAGTATAGCACTGAGGAAGCATACAACTTTTCTCTATTTCTTTAATGCTTCCTGCCCCAACTATCATGATCCCAATTCTACCTTACAAATCCTGTTAGACCAGAGGATATATTGATACAAATAAAAACTGGAAACACAGGGAATCCAGGAATGATGAACCCCTTGGGACCAATAATGAGAGTAGCAGTACTAGGAGGGTAAGGGTAAGGTGGGGTTGAAAGGGGAAACCAATCACAAGGATCTACATATAGCCCCCTCCCAGGGGACGGACAACAGAAAAGTGGGTGAAGGGAGATGTCGGACAGTATAAGACATGACAAAATAATAATAATCTATAACTTATCAAGGGTTCATTAGGGAGGGAGGGTGGGAGAAGGAGGGGGGGAAATGAGCTGATACCAAGGGTTCAAGTAGAAAGAAAATGTTTTGAGAATGATGATGTCATCAAATGTACAAATGTGCTTGACACAATGGATGCATGTATGCATGCATGTATGTGATAACACTATGCATGTATGTGATAACATGCATTGTGATAACACTAGCAAAGGCCGCCATGTTTGGTAAAGCAGAGGGTCAGTGAAAATGAGGGAAGCCCTCCAGGAGGCGGATAAGCATGGTGGCTGCCACAGTGGCCTCACACCGACGAATGATGGTGGAGGCGTGTCAGGACCGGGCCAGGTCTCCTTTTGCTGTCCGTGCGAGTGAGGTTGCTGTGACTTTGAGGTGACTCAACGGCAACTATGAGTCAAAGTTCAAGACCCCCCACTCCAGACCTTAGTGAGATAAGGTCCTCCTTTCCTTTGAGTTCAAAATCCAAGAGATTGCCTCTGATTTCAGGCTGAGACTGGGGGGTCCCAGCCCCTACCCCTTATGCTGTCAGGCTACAGGTTCAGAAAGGGAGACAACAAACACCAGCATCTACACATCGTTTTGTTGGCAAGAGGGCTCCGGGTGGAGGAGGAGGTGCCAATGAGGCAACTCCTGTGCAAGCCAAATAGCCAGAACGCTGGTGACTGGCGCCTCAGAGGGATCCTGGGACTTCTCAGATACTTTCTCTGCTGGTTTTCCAGCGCCCCAGAGACCATCACTACTTTAGCCTGCTTTGTAAGACTCTGTTTGTACCTCCTCTGCCCTTGTATGCCCTGCAGACAGTGCTGGGAGTCCTTGGCCACAGGCCTAGCCTGGAGTCCTCCTGACTAACCCCTGGGTCTGGACACATTGGTGCCTGCTCGGGACCTCACAGGTCAGTCCTAACTAGTGAGGGATGCATTCCCTGGAATCCCAGAGTTAAGTTTGCCAGTGGGGCACGTGTGGTCGGAATGAGTCCCCTCACCTCTCTGGGACTCAGTGCCCTGACCCGCGCAGGCAGTGAGAGTTTCAGGTCCAGCAGCTGTGGCGTGCACACATGTCACTGTGCCACCCATGTCCTTGGCTGTCCTGAGCAGAGTATCCCACAGGTTCATCTTCCCCCTCAGCCCCAGTGTGTTCAGGTGACATATAGACACACACACACACCCCCTGCAGGCTTTACTTAATTAGCTGTGTGGTCTTGAGGCAGTCTTTCCACTTCTCTGTGCCTCAAACATCATCACCAATGAGAATGGATATGGTTGCCCCATCTCAGAAGGATCACTGTGGACTGAATGAGAGAAACACCTGGGCCGTTGAGAACCCGACCCAGCAGAGCTGTGCACTGCAGAGTAGCTGGGTTTTTCCAGGGCTTCCCCACCAACACACCCCCAACACAGACTCCTGTGCACTGATGGGCAAACACTGCCCTTCCCAGCCTGGGTCTCTTTTTAAAAGACTCAAGCCCAGGTCCTGGTGGGCCAATTAAATTGGAATTCTTGGCCAAGGGCTTCTTGCACAAGGAAGATGGGAAGCCCAAGACTTCCATTACAGGAGGTCAGGGAGCCCTGTGTACATGTGCTCATGGAAACATCCCCCAGCAGACCAGTGCGCATCTCAGAACTCCTCACTCCTGAGTAACCACCAACAGTGAATGTGTGCCCTGAACATGGTCTGTCCGTCCAGCCCAAGAGAGACCCCTCTGCAGTGTGCCTCAGAAACCACCTGCTGAGTGCAATATAAGTCAACCGCAGAGGGGAAACTAGCACTGGGGCCCACTTCTAGCAATTGTCCAGAAGGGGCAAGAATCTAGAGCTCAAAGTCCATTCGCAGGCCATGGGAGGGGTGGGGGGGAGGGATTCAATGTTGACCAGACCCTGAGCTTCTGTAAAGGGTAGTGATTTAATTCTGAACTGGATGAGCACGATAAGTAAACAATATGATGAACGTAATTAA